AAAATATATTCCCAAAATGAAATCACGGAGTCAAAGGGTATTTTAACTAGTACTTAAAACTGATGACAAGTAAGGCCAGCCTGCTTTTCAAAAGTTGTTTCTTTTACACTAATTAAAAATCTGTAATAGTTTTTTCATAACAATAGAAGTTACTTTTCCTTATTGTCAGTTTCTTAATGTTAAATGTTTGCAGTAAGTAAGCATTTCTCAAAATACTACAGTATTTTTTGTTCCAAAGTGACTGAAATACCTTTTTTATTTCTGTGTATTATCAAGCAGGTATCACTGGTGTGATAAAGCTGTGTATAAATGGAAAGTAAATACATCTGGAAAGCATTTTATAACCTATAAAGCACCATATAAGTGCTTGTTGAGTTCCTTCAGAAAATAGCAAAATAAAGTATTTATAAAGGCTAATAATACTTGATACTGTGTACCACAAAGGACTGTCTATCATTTGTGAACCTAGCTGTAGTATACAACTTGGATTTTGTCTGTGCCCTTATTTTATTTTGCAGAGTATATGCAAGAAAGTAGAACACAGTGAGCGAGCGGTAGAGAAACTACTAAAGGACGTAACCAGATTGAAATGGGAAATTAAAAAAAGAAAACAGGCACAAATTCAAGCAGCACGTAAGTAAAAAGTTCACACATCACTACCTTCTGTGCTTTTAAAAAAAAAACTGTGAATTCTGCTTTAAAAAAAATTCTCACTGATGTGAATTATGGATGAGCTGGCTCTACTAACTGATCATCTACCTTAGGGTTAAAAATAATTGTTTTATTAATACTCTTAAATCCTACTATGTAAAGAACTTGGTATTACTGTAGCTATACTATATTGTTGATATTAAAAAATACAACTTAAACTTTTAGAATACAGTGGCATACAAATTAGTATTTGGGATTATGCACACCATTTTTCTCAATTTAGAGGATCTGATAGAACTGTTCAGTTAAAAGTCTTTTTGACTTTACTAACAAATAGATTACAAAAGCTTTGTAGGACAAATATGGTATGTTGAACTATTGTTTTATTTTGTTTAGGAGAGAACATCGAAAAAGACCCTCAAGAGAACATTTTTCTTTGTCAAGCTTTACGGACCTTTTTTCCAGATCATGAATTTCTTCATTCATGTGTTATCTCCTTGAAAAATAGGCATATTTCTAAAAGTAGCTGTACTGCCAACCACCAGCTCAATGTGATAGACAACCTGACCTTAATGGTAGAATACACTGACATTCCTGAAGCTAGTCCAGCTAGTGGTGCGCCTCAAATGATTAAACGTAAAGCTTTAGATACTGATGATGGATGGCAATTCAAGAAGTCACGGCCGTTAGAGATACAAAACAAACCATCTAAAACAGATACTGATAGTAGTAATCAAGAGAAAGCATCCACAATGAGCAGCCCTGAAACAGATGAAGACATTGAAAAAATGAAGGGTTGTGGTGAATATCCACAGTCTCCTACATTTTGATCATTTTAGGCCAAAAGGACATTTTTAATTGGCTGAAGGGTAAAGCCATTTGTATTGTTTTTACTATGTTCAGGTATTTTGCAGTAATACATAAGTTCTAGTGCATTTATTTTTTAAAGCACTTTATTTTAAAACCATACTTTTGTCCCCCTCCATTGTTAAAGATTTTAAGTAATTCCTATACCCAACATGGAGCTTGAACCCACAACCGCAAGATCAAGAGTCGTATGTTCCACCAACTTAACTAGCCAGGCACCCCCCCTTTTTTTGTTGAGGGAAAAGCTTAAATGATACTCTTTTAAACTTCTGTAGCATTCTTTAGAATTGGAAAAGAAAGACTAACCTTATTTTCACAATAGAAAAAAAAGATGTCTAAAGTTAATATGAAATGTATTTCATTTTTATCTAAGGCACAGTAATTCCTGCTCCTTAAGTTACAATAAATGGCTAGGGTTGCCAGATAAAACCCTGGACAACATGCAGTATTAGGCATTGAAAACTTACTGTTTAAATGAATAATTTGAATTGGAGTTCAAATTTAATCACATGTCCTGTATTTCTATTTGCTAAATCTGGCAGTTCTAATTATGGCAAAACTATAATGTGGCACAAATATCTCTCCCTAGTCTAGAGTCTTCTACACAGAATTGAGTGAATCCAGAATTTGAGAACAGAACAAGCCTGATAATGCAGCGTGTCTGAGATCAGCAGCTGGTCAAGTAGCTGAAAAGGCCAATTAAAGTGGGACTCAAAAATGGTACATATGTGTATAGGTATACGTATGTCTATCACCGAGATTTCATTTTAACGTAAAGCAGAATTGTACATTCATTTGTCAACCTTCTGTTGTAGGATTAGGAACTTAGATTCTGAGTATGCTGGTGTTCCAGTATTAATCACATCCATTATTTAACCTTTACAATTCCCAGTTTTAGTTTCTTTAAAGTGAGGAATTTGAAGAAACTTGAAAAGCAACCTGAGTACAGAATGCTTTTTTTTTCATTTCACAGCACCCTCCTACTTCCAACCTTCTTCAGCTGTCCTAACCACACCTAACTTGACAACTATTTTCTTAAAGCTATTTATCTTTCAAAAGCATTTACTTCATTTTCATTGCAACAATAACTTTAATGCTCATACTTCATCAATACAGAGACAAAACTAACACAGGTCTGGGAACAAAATAACTGCCTCTTGGCAATGCAAAACTCAACAGGTTTGAAGAGTATGGGCTTCAGTATGATTTTGAGGATGTAAAGCTCCATTTTAATCCAGTGAATTGGTTAAGTGGAAGTTGGCTAAGAGAGCTTTCACTGTGTTTTCTGTATTTGTCTTTTCCATAATTTTGAGAATTTTCCACAAAGCCTATACATCATATGAAGCCTTCGTGTTTTACTCCCTGGATGAAATGCTGAACACACACTTTGACCATTGCTTTTCCATTTGCTACTTCCTAAGTGACAGAACAAATTCATAGCTACTATCAAAACTATCTTTTATCTATTTTAACATGCATTAGTTACCATGGGGTGCTAATGAAGCCCATATAACAGCAGGGATGTTTTGTACAAATAATGAGTTTCTGTTGGGATCGTTTAACTGGTTACCTAAGAAGCACTGCTGTGTAACACCACCAGGCAGAGGGAGGGGTAATAGGTTGGCAGTCTGAAGCCTAACTTAAAAATAACCACAAACGGGCGCCTGGGTGGCTCAGTCAGTTAAGTGTCTGCCTTCGGCCCAGGTCATGATCCCAGGGTCCTGGGATGAAGCCCTGTGTCCGGCTCCGTGCTCTGCAGGGAGTCTGCTTCTCCCACCCTCCACCCCTACCCCACGCCACCTTGTGCTCTCTCGCATGCTCTCCCTCAAATAAAATCTTAAAATAACCACAAACATCACTAAAGCATATAGAACATCACATAGAACATAGATAAGGACTAAATGCAACCAACAAATGAACTGCTGGAGGAGGTTATTGAGAACACAAGACTGCTGGTTGACCTGCCAGCTGGACTGAAGCAAAGGTTCCTGACCTACTTCCATCCTTGGAGTGTACATTTTGCCTAACTACCCACAGTGGGAGCTGTTCCAAAGACACAGCCTTGAGACAAGTAAGGTGTTGACACCATATGGATTATATGTGTGACTGAACCCAGTTAAGGCCTCAGTAAAAACTTTTAAGACTAGCAGGCAGGTGCAGAGATGTACTTGCCTTGTGGCCACCCAAGACAAACTTCCTAAGTAAGTTCCCTTATTACTAAGCCTGCCACCTACAAATAGGGAGTTGCCTGCCTCTTCAGTCTCTCCCTGCCCTCCACGTACCAGTTTATGAACCAACAGATAAAACATGCTAGACAAGGAACTGCAGAAGCAATAAGTAACCAACATACACGAATGTCTTCTGAAGACAATAGCTTAAGATTTTTCAAAGACTGCTTACAACAAACAGGTTTTCATCCGAAGTTAAATTTGCTAAAACACTATAGAGAGGTAATATATTTCACTTATACTTGTGCACAATGATCCATCTTCTTTGAAGAAAGAAACGCTAAATTTTCCATCAGAGAAGCTTGCTGAGGTCTGTACTGGCTTAACTTCCATAAATAAGTTTGATGGCCCAAGTTTCAGGGTATTAAGTGAAGGAAAAGGGTCCTCATAGATCATTTTTCCCCAATTATTCTCATCTTTTGGCAATTAGTTTGTATCACTGGAGTAAGATAGTTCTAGACCATTTGCCTATGGATCATTTTAAAATATGCTACCAGTTTTAAGATAGACTAGCCCAGGAATAAATCTGAGGTCCTACAACTGCACCACTATCCATCCCCATGTAACATCTCTACAAAGGGAAGACCCACTGTCCTAGCCAGGCATACTTCTATTTACTAGTTAGAAAATCTGAGCAATTTTAAATCCACACCCTGCCACATGGAATTTGTACATAATACAAGCATTCCACCTTCATGCACCCATATCCCTAAAATCCCATTTACAAGACAGAATCTGGGCCTAAAGTAAAATTCCAATAGAAATCATCCTTTCCATATTTTTTTTTAAAGATTTTATTTATTTGACACAGAGATCACAAGCGGGGAGTGGGGGGTCTGGGTTACAGAGGGAGAGGGAAAAGCAGGCTCCCGGACAAGCAGGGAGCCTGATGTGGGGCTCCATCCCAGGGCCCTGGGATCATGACATGAGCCGAAGGCAGATGCTTAACTGACTAAGCCACCCAGGCGCCCCCATTCTTTCTATATTTTAAATCCCCATGAGTTTTATGAGCTAACTGGGGACCATCCTACAGTACCAGTTTTTAAAAATTTGTATGTATATAAAATAACGAGTATTAACATTTTAAATAACTCATGTTCTTTCAAAAGTGAAGAGGAAGCTTTACTCACTTTTTCCTTGTAAGATTTCAATTATTAAGAATTTAAAAAACTTTAGTTTGAAAAGATTTAGCCGGTTTTCTACCCAAAGTTATTAAATCTTGTAATTTGAGTCAGTATTAGAATCATACAACCATTTATTGTAAAATATGTTTATTTATGGATGTTAAGACTCCTATAATTTATTCCCGATACTTGATGTTACAAACTTTAGGGTCTTTGAGATATGCAGGATCCTTGTATGTAACTGGCATAAACCCTGTAAAAGACAATGAAAGTGCTTCACAAAAGATAATGAGCAAACTTTTGACTGGCCCAATTCAGTTTTTCAGGTGCTCTTACCCATTATTTGCGCCCTCTTAATTGCTTTTGTGATTTCTTTCTGTTTCTTCCCACAAAGACCTATAAAAAAATGCTTTCATATTCATAAAAAATGTCAACACTCAAAATGCATAGCAACTATCTTAAGGAAAGGTTGGAAAACCTATAAATAGCCAGGCAGTAAATATCTTAGGCTTTGCGGGCCATACAGTCACTGCTGTAGCTCACAAAGCAGCCACAGGCATTATGTAAATAAGCTACTTAAAAAACAGGTGGCAGATCTAACTTGGTCTATAGGCAATAGGCCCCGGTTTAAATAAGTAGTCTAGGAACGATTACAGTATACTCTAAAACATTAACACAATTTTCTAAAGCCCTAATTTTTTACAGATTGTCTGCCTATAGTTAACTCTGAGCATAAGAAGACGTAAAATAATAATCCTTTTGGGCTACAAAGACACTTTCTCAAAAGTACCTCTAGTATCTGGTCTACTAGCGATTTACAGCACAACTTGAAAATCTGACATTTCTCTTAAATAACAAATAGATTTGTATAATTTTTTATAAGTTGCGATAATAGAAAACAAAATACCTGTTATGTGCCTTCCATAAATGCATCCAGTAAATGGAGAAATAAACTGGGACAAAAGCTGTTTTGAGTTATATTTGGAGAAGAAAAAAAATTTGTATCAATACATTTGTTCAACCTTGATTATGTAAATTTAAAAAATTATATATCACTGTCCAGTTACGTAAAGGTTTATAAATAAATTTCAAACTTCATAAAATATAAATACTGAACTATGCTCATTCTATTAATAGGTCATTCTGTTAAGTGAAAAAAGTGATTACTAAGTTAACATCTTATCCAGTATATTGAAACAGATTAATGTACACATTTTTTTCAGTGCTAAAGCTGCCATAATTTACGTTCTATTAAATTCTTTAGTACTTTTCAGGTACCAGGCATTGTTCCTGGCACTACACATAATCCTTCTAAGATGCATCTTTAAACTTCTTGGTTTTCACCTAAGGCAGCTACTATCACTTTTTGCTGCTGTCAATATCCTTCACTACAGCACCATTCTCTCCCCCAGATTTTCCACTTTTAATCTGCTGAGCCCTACAACAGATAAAATTACATTTAAAGCAGAGATATCGGTAGTGTTATTAGTACAGAGACCAAATTCACCAGAGGCGATTTTTCCAAACTATTCAACTCTACCAACTAAGAATCACTGCATAGTGAGCTACTGGTGACCTCCAGGGCAGACAAGAAAACACAGACCTGAAATAATAGCAGATGAGGGAGAGCTAAAGGGCTCTCATTAGAATAAAACAGAGATGACTTATACATAGAAAACCAGATTTGAAATTACGAAGTCCCTAAAAGAGATGCCTCTACACAAAGCCTGTTAGCTATGACTAACAAAGGAGCAAATCCTAAAATCAAATATCACAGTGAAGTAAAACTGTATCTCACCTGTACATTCTTATAATCCACACGTTTTCCACACAAGATACATTTTTTAAGAGGCTCCTTATAAGGATTTTCCATTGGAACGGGCTAAAATAAAAAAAAGATGATACAGTTTGATGTGTTAAATTAAAAAAAATTAAATCTTAAGGTTACCACATTTAAATCTATCCAAAGGATTAGTTGTACCTTTCTTACTATGAAAAAGAAAAAATACAACAGCTTGGCTTATAAAGAAAAATCAGTGATTCTGAAAAGGAGTCACCATTTTAAAGATTTCAGTGTGTTCATACATATTTTGTACAAATACTCTGGTTTGGCTAAGGAGGAATTAAATCATGGAGAAGGATTCTGGGATAAAATACAATCCTTGGAGAAAACAAAGGTCTATGGGAGGATAACTTTTATGGTCCCAGATTGCTTTATACATTTATGTCAGCCTTTTTGTTTTCTCTGTCTTCATTACTGCCTCTAATGCTTCTGCCACATGCCTCCCTTCTATTATCAGTATACTCACGTCTCCAATCAAGAGAGTCTTAATCTAGAAATGGCTTTGAAGTCCATAATCCACTGTAGTTGTATGCAAAATTTCAAATGAAAGAGACTGTGAGCTTTTTTCTGAGAGCCCGTATTTCATTAGAGCCTCAGGGGAATTTTATGACCTAGAAAAGAGCTCTAGTAATTTCCTTTACTCCCTTGAACTATGGTGTGCATTAGATGACAAGAAGGATGCTCAAGGGACTAGAAGACTTCTGTGTTTTCCAACTCCTCAAACTTTAATCCAATTTACATGCAGTTCACTTATAATGACTATGTTCCTTCTTTACACTGCGCTAAGTGCTTTGTATGGTTTGATTAGTGTCAAATCATCTTTGCAGGTAGCAAGAAAACTTACACTGGCTAAGCCCAATGCTAGTACTTGAAACCCATAAAAATACACCTACAGGCTAAAACAAACTATTTAATGTCCTGCTTATAGCAGGACTTCAATTTTGATCCTTCATTTACTAAAACACCCACTCCCCACCCCCAGTAATGAATAGGACAAAGAATTGAATCTGAAATGGGGAAGAGAACCAAGGTACAGGTAGACTTTGTAATTCCTCTGTTGGATATTCTGTAATTACTGCACCCACCAAAACTATCTTTTTTAGTTTCCAAAGCACATATCCTTAAATTTAAGATCTAAGAAGAAAAGTACAGTGTTACGCGAGCGATGCTTCTTGTTAGGACTCTAGGAATTCTCTTACTTCAAGCTCACTTAAGTGACAATTCACCAATGAATTATAATTTTCAAACTCAAACTGATTATTATCTTATTCGTTCTGTCGTATTCAAATAGCTAAAATATAATAATTTGGTCATACTTGCAAATGCCTTAAAAAGAAGAAAAAAAAGTCTTACCAGGTCCTCATTGCCGGCTACGTGCTTATATTGTGAACAACTCCTCCATAGCACTGCAATTAAATAAACAGCAACAAACCAATTCTTTTTGTCAGCTCAGCAACTAAAGATTTCTGTTTTTATGGAAGCAAGATGAATCAAGGGATAGAACATAAAGGTTTTTATATTCACATACAACGACTGGATAAAAACCTTTAGATGTGAGGCAGAATAAGATTTAAGATGAATGTGCTTTCCAAGGCTTTGGGGAAAGGACATGTATTTCTCCACCCCTTACAAACCTCTCACCTGCTGTCTTCATGAAATTTATTTTCCCCTCACTCCTTGGTTAGAGACAGATTTTAAGGCAAACACTTAAGGGGAAAGCAATAGAAAGGCACTGTTATACCAAAGGGAAAATGTAACAGACCCCCTAACGAGTAGTTATGGACAGAGAAGATAAAATGCAGAAATGATAGACTCGAGAGCCCATGTCACAATTTTGCCCTGATCTGGGACCTTAGACAACTCCTGTAATGTACTACCGGGTGACTCTGGAAATGTCCCTTCCTTACCAACTCTACCTGGAGTTCTGAGGCAAGTTAAGTCCCTGCCTCTTTTTGAGAATCACGCGATCACTCTCTCTGTGTGTTTAAAAGGAAAATAAAAAGTGTACTACATGACATTCACGCCCCCTTCTCAATTCCGCCCCGCCCCCCGGCTTTAAAATACTAGTCATGGGGGCGCCTGGGTGGCTCAGTCGGTTAATCGTCTGCTTTCGGCTCAGGTCATGATCCCAGGGTCCTGGGATCGAGCCCCGCATCGGCCTCCCTGCTCAGTGGGGAGTCTGCTTCTCCCTCTCCCTCTGCCCCCCCCCCCAGCTCGTACTCTATCTCAAATAAATAAATAAAATCTTTTAAAAAATGAAATACTAGTCATTGGTCATTACAGATTCCCATCTCTCTTGGAGAAGCTCTTAATCGCCTAAAAACCGGCGTCGTTGAGCTAATAATGACAACTCCACCAACCTAGTTAGCGCTACGGCAATGGCTGCAATGCCACAAAAGAGTATAGGATATGGAAATTGTACCCGCGTGAGTCCCAGGATCTGTGAGGCAGAGAGCAGCCTTTACGAAATGCGTTAACTTTTTCCTCCCTAGATCACCACAAACAGCAACCAAAGCCGCCATGGATCCTCGCTCCTCCTCTTCCTTTCCTCTTTCCAAATCGTCCTGACAAGTCCCCGCCGATGCTCTTCCCCTGTTGGCCCGAGTACTCGGTTCAAAGGTTCCGCGGGCTAACAAGAGAAGAGCCGGTAAGGTTTTCAACGCGCCTGCGCAGCTTCTTTGCGTTCTAACCCTCACAGTCGCAAGCCGGGGACACCTATGATTGGACAAGGAAAAGGCGGGTCCCTACGCTTCTGCCTCCGCTTCCGGTCTGAGAGCCCGGGGGCAATTGATTTGTGGTCTTATCCTAAAGTGGATGGAGAAGCGAGCGCTGTCTCCCCCAGTTGCTACCCGCGCCCTGCCCTCCTCTCCCTCCTCCACAGGGGTTTGGCGGCTCGGTCACACGGGACGAAGTTGGGGCAGGGTCCTCGGCCCCTGCCATGGATGAAGGTGTTTCCCGCATCCGCCGGCGGGTGTCTGTCCGCAAAAGGGACCGTCCTAGCCTAGGGAGCGGTTTTGCCGCCCCCACCGCGGCCGAGCTCAAGCCGGGCGATGAGGAGGGGGAAGAGGAGATGGTGGCTGGAAGCCGGCGGAGGAAAACCGTGGAGGTGCAACCGGTCGAGGTATCAAATTCCGAGTTCCTTGTCTCATTGCCCACTTTGGGGAAGATGATACAAACCCAGGTCTCCTACCGCGCATGCCCACTGAAAGAACACAAAGACCAGCTCTAGAAGCCAGGGAACTAGACGCTCCAAAATTTTGGTTGTTCCCTTCCTACATGCAAACAGTGGACCAATTGTCTACTAGCCTTCATTTGCTTATCTCCACTTTGTTATCGCTGTTAATTCTCACTTGTGAGGTATTGCTTTGCTATCCTCATTTTTATATAGATCTCAAAGGTAGACCGCCGAGACATAGAAGTCGTACATGCAGCAAATAAGAGGCATGATTGCCACGCAAATCTAGATTTCCAAGTTACTGCTGCTCCTGCGGTACTAATAAAACCTATCATTTATCGCACACCCATTATGTGCTGGGTACTTTGTTAAGCTATTTACATTATCTAGATTTGACAACAGAAATCAGGCCCTGAGAGGTCAAGAAACTGCACTTCTGATTCCAAATTCTGTTTTCTTAATCACTTCACTATATTGCTACCTCTAAATTTACATCTCTTCTGTTGAGTAGACCATCCCAAGTCAGTGTGCAGACCCTCCCTTCCAATTCCTAATTCCTAAGAACAGAATCTCTTTAAGAGTGTCCAGTTGTACAAGCATGATTTTGTTACAAGCCAGTTTCTGTAGATTGGAGTCTGAGAGGGGGAATGGTGCTGCAGTTACCCGAAACTTCTAGTGAGATGACATTCCAGTAGATGTCTATTGGTCTTGCTACCTTTTTAAGGATTTAAAAGCTTAAGAATTAGGATCCCAGTATCACCATACCCTAGGAGTACAGCTTGTGAAAATTACTTAAACACTCTGGCTTTCCTTTTCTTCATCTGTAAAATGGAGATGATAATATCCATTTCATAGGGTGATTTACATTTAGGTCTGTGATCCATGTAATTATATACCTGGTATATATTTAGAGGTAGCAATATAGCAGAAACTTTTGTTCTTAGTGAAGCTAGAATTGACCATAAAGCTTTTCGTTTTCTTTCCAGAATGACAGTGAAGAGGACATGTTTGGTGACTATGACAGCTTTGCTGAAAATTCTTTTTTAGCTCAAGTTGATGACCTGGAACAACAATATATGCAAGTTCCTGAACATAGGAAACATGCCTCAGACCTTAGCACTGAAGATCTTTGTTCAGAAAGCATCAAACACAACAAACTCAGCATTACTACTGTAGGCAACTTTACTGAATTAAAAACAGATGAGCACATAAAGAACCAGAGTAGGCATGAAAATGTCTCCATTGAACCTGATATTTTGTATGATGTACCTTCTTCACAGGTTTTATACTTTGAAAATTTGCAGAACTCTTCAGATGATTTGGGCAATCAGTCTACTAAAGAGAGGGATTGGAACGCATCCTCTCACAAGATTGTGAATGAGGAATTACCCCAGAATAGAATAGAACAACACCAGCAAATTGATGATTCCTCTTCCAAAGTCAGAACTAGTTCAGAGGAAAATAGGAGAAAAAGTCTTAAAGAACATCTAAAAAGTGCCATGACTGGAAATGCCAAGGCCCAAACACCGATATTTTCTAGAACTAAACAGCTCAAAGAGACTCTCCTATCTGAAGAAATTAATGTTGCTAAGAAAACAATTGAGTCATCATCGGACGACCTTGGTCCTTTTTATTCATTACCCAGCAAAGTGAGAGACCTTTATGTTCAGTTCAAGGGAATTGAAAAATTATATGGTAAATGCTTTTTGCTGAAATGAAAAAAATTTACCATTATTATCATATTACTAGTGCAAGTCAATAGAAAGCAGATGCTTCTGTGGTCCTATATCTCATCTTAAGACAAATAAAAATATCAGTCCTCCCCACCTTCCATCCCTAACCTGCTGCTACTGAACCTCTTTCCTTCCCTTCATGGTCACACTTGTCAAATCTATTATCCTTCCAGTCTCCCTTTCCTCACCTCAAGTAATTCCCAGCCCACTCTGGGTTCTATGCTCTCATGTAAGGTCTAATGACGAGGGTGTCTAAATCCAATGATACTTTTAGTTCTCACTTGCCTGACTTCTCAGTAGCTTACATGACACAATTGACCAGACCCTTGAAACACTCACTTCTTGACTACTTGACATTCCATGCTGGTTTTTTCATGACTGTCTAGCTGCTTCTCAGTTTTACTAGCTGGTGTGTTTTTGGCTGGCTCTGTCTTCTGTACAAAAACTTGAAGTTCCTTTGACTATTCATGGCCTGAGTGAAAGTGTCAATATTCGTAATACCATTGATTAAGACTAAACATCTTTAGGGGCGCCTGGGTGGCTCAGTCGTTAAGTGTCTGCCTTTGGCTCAGGTCATGATCTCAGGGTCCTGAGATCGAGCCCCGCTTCGGGCTCTCTGCTCAGCAGAGAGCCTGCTTCTCCCTCTCCCACTCCCCCTGCCTGTGTTCCCTCTCGCTGTGTCTCTCTCTGTCAAATAAATAAAATCTTAAAAAAAAAAAAAAAGACCAAACATCTTTAAAGATAGCTGAAGTTAAGAGTTAAGCACAAAGAGATAGTATTAATAACAATATATATTGTAATGTTTTTCAAAAATCCTGGGTCCTTGCCTATATTTCAGATATGTGTCATTTTAGACAAAGAAGGGACAGTTGCTGGCATCCTGAAAGATGAGCCTATCAACCAGTCACTTCATAAGTATTTCTGAGACTCCTATGTTAGTGCCATATGAACCATGTGAAACCATGGTTCTCATCTCAGGGAGAAGACACTCAGGTGAAGAAGTAGAACTACGGGAAACAAAGTAACGTAAGACTACAAGAGTCTAATAAATTTTAAATTGTGAGGTTTGCAGTTAAAGAGCTAAAGGTGTGTATTGCCCTTGAAGTTGGTGTTAACTTTCTTCCCTCTGCTTTTCTCCTAGTACCTTGTTCTTTATTTAATCTGCATCTCCTGCCAGACAGTACCTTGAGGACAGGGCTCTATCTAACTCATCTTTTTCTGATGTAACTAGCACTGTGCCTAGTACATTCTGGTAGGTTCTCAATTGCTGGGGGTTATCGGCCTAGTTAGGAATTCCGGCCCTGTCACTGAAACACAAGTTTTGCACTCTGAGCCTTAGTTCCTGATCTCTTAAAAAGGAATACTAATAACAATAATGGTTGTTTTGTAAGTTATGTTCTGCGCCAAGGACATGCCAAGTTAGACTGTGGTAATGACTGTCCATAACTATATTAGTAGCTTCTAAGTAAGAACGTCAGTAAATAACAGGTTTTTAAATCTCTTTTTACTTATAGATCTGGCTTGATGACATGACCAATTTAAATCATAAATGTGTATGCCACTTTTCATTGCACTAAAGCAGTGGTTCTCAAAAGTGTAGTTCCTGGACCCCAAAGTCAGCATCACCTGGAAACTTGTTGAAATAGGCATTCTCAGGCTCCACTCTAGGCCTACTGAATCCACCTCTGAGGTTGTGACCTGGCAATTGGTTTTAACAAGCCCTCCGGGGGATTCTGATGTGCCAAAAGTCTGAGAACCACTGAGCTTGAGAACCTCAACCTTATACTGTTATTTTTGCCTTTTTATTGTAAAATTGCTTGCTTGATGTGTTTTATATAAATGGTTAGAACCAAGTTAATTTCATCTTTTTTTAATGTGTGAAAATAAGTGATATTACTAAATATTTGCTATTTTGGTCACTTTATACTTTAAAAATTTGAGTCGGATAAAATGCAGAAATGGTCAAGTTATATTTTCATACAAACATCTTGTGTGAAAATAAGTGATATTACTAAATATTTGCTATTTCGGTCACTTTATACTTTAAAAATTTGAGTCGGATAAAATGCAGAAATGGTCAAGTTATATTTTCATACAAACATCTGCAGCTTTATACATAATGGGTGATACCAGTCTGAAATATTTTTAATATGTATTAAATATTAAGCTTACGTATTTAAGTGTTTTTGAAATATTTTTAAAGTTGAAAAAAGTCATTTGCAAATATTTGGGAATCACCAAAATACAAGAAATTAAAGTCCCTTGGCTGTCATTCAGACGTAATTATTTTTAATACCTTTGTTACATATTCTCTTAGTCATTTTTTAATTTAATTTTTTTGGAAAACATAATACATTCAAGTCGAACTTTTATATATTTTCTAATATGTACATAATTGGGTTTATGCAATCCAATACACATTCATGATCTTTTACTTAACTGTATATTGAGCATGTATAAATCAATCTACCACCTGTTTTCAAGCTGCAAAGAATGGTATCATATAATTGTACAATAATTCATTCAACTTTTACCCCTTGATGGCTCTTTGTTATATATAAACACTGCTATGATGAACATCTTGCACATAATCTTTATATGTCCTTTTATTTCTATAGGTGTAGAGACCTAGAAGTAATACTGCTAGATGAAAGACAGTGTGCAGTTTTGTTTTCAATACTGTTAGTTTGCTTTCCAAAAGGATTATAGTATTTTATGC